TTAACTGGATGGATAGACAACCAGACGTGCAATAAATAAACACATACAGATCATATTAAAACAGACTTCATATGATAGACAACCAGCTCAGAATTTCTAGTCATGGCAATGTTTATGTCATCCATCCACTGGGCCTAACTTGAGGTACAAAATTATTGTTTTTGAAGTCGGACAAAGTGTAGACAATCATTTTGAGAAGTCTATAACTCCTCCTAATTGACTCAATCTAAAATATGAAATATGAGTATATAACTCTTTGGAAGCATAAGCAAATTAACTACAATTCTCTAATACATTGTATCACGATATTCAGAATGTAAGAGCCCAAATAATCGATCTTATCTATACTGTACAGTTTCTGCAGAGCCAACAAAACTTGTATATTAGCAAATAACCTGTTTCCAGTAGTGATTGCACGATCTACGTTTAGTTGCTTCTCTTGCACATTCTCTGTCTGGCACTACCCCAACACCTGCATCATAGTGCCTGACTAGTGATCAGACTGAGATCAATAGGTCATGTCTGTTTGATGCTCTGTAAAGTAACCAGCTGCTGTCGAGAAGTCTCATTGCCTGAAATCCTAAAAATAAGAACAATCATAAATAATATGATGCTATAACAGGAACAGGTATGAGATTTACGAGGAATAAAATTATGAATTGACCAGTTCAAGGCTTGTCAGCAATCTGCATCTTGTTGGCCGAGTCACGGCAAAAGAAAATCACGCCCTAACCGGCAGGCATTGCTGATGAATTGACATAGTTAGGGTAGTAATCTGTTGGGTGCTTGAGGTAAAACTAGAAACAATTTTTAATCAAGATTGACGAATAGCAGCAATAGAAATCGCAAGATCAGCTAGCAAATTGGTATAGGTCATAGATGCATGCAGCCCAGGTGTGCAGAGACTCGCACACAGGCACCGAGGAATTTTCATCAAGATCTACTCAAAATAAGAATCAGTAAATCACTTGGAAGATAAAAAGGTACGGATCATCTATAACACGAATTGGACCAGCAGAAGCTGCTCGTCTGCCCGAATATGCACTCGAGTCGTCGCACATTATATGGATTAAGCAAATCATATGTCAAGACCACCATGAACTAATTGTCATTGTTGTCTGCATTCATGGGACAATGCTAGAAGGAAAATCGAAATACGTATACAGTGAAGCAATAGTACTCACATATATAATATATTCTAAAGGAATAATCTGTGCTAATCCGATGGGAGTGGCCTCCAGGTTGAACGAGTACCATAATATAGTTACCAGAACGTGTACAGTTGGTTATGATAATTAGAGAATGTCTTCAGTAATTACGAGAAACTATTTACGATAATTAGAGATCGAATGCCTTCAGTAATTTACCATAACTTGTGGGAGCTAATAATATTTACGAGATTTTATATTATGAACTTTCCTACGATATTTGCGAGATCTATATGTCAGAAAGGAAACCAGAGATTTAGAATCAATTATCACTAGAAAGAAAAGAGAGAATCACCAAACGTGCCTCCTCGTGGACGCAGGCCTGCCCAGGTCCTACATCCGCCATGGCAGAAGGTCGCCGGGCTGTCCATAGGGACAGCGCCCCTACCATGCTTGGAGGTGGCCATCAACGCCACGACGGGAGCTCCGGACTGGCCGCCCCCTCCATGGATTCGTCGTGGACCAGCCCTCGCCCAGATCCGCCATGGGAAGAGGGCCGAGGGTACCGGAGGGAGGGCGCGCCACAGGGCCGTCGGCGAGGTCGGCTTGTGCAGTGAGGGCACGCCACGGGGCCGCCGGCAGGTCGACGCGGTGGAGGTCTCTATCGGTCACGCTGGTGCAGGTCGACGCCGCAGGAGCGCAGCGCTTGTCGCTTCGATCTTGGCGGCGAACGCGAAAGCAGGGCGGCCATGGCCTAGCGGGCTGCGCAGCGTCGAGCTGCGCCGGGCCGCCGTGTGCCGAGCCTCGCTGCGACGCCAGAGAAGGAGTGCATGTGTGCGGGCCGGTTGGGCGGCAGAAAGTTAAATCACCCTTTGCCGAGTGCCTCCGATCGCCACTCGGCAAAGGTTTTTTAAATTTTTTTAATTCTTTGTCGAGTGTCCAAGATCCGGCACTTGGCAAAGATTTTTTTAAAAGACTTTGCCGAAAGTGCCTCGCACACGCACTCAAGCAAAGATTTAATTTTTTCAAAAAATTCTTTGCCGAGTGCTCTGTGGAGGCACTCGGCAAAGAGGACCCCAAAAAAATCAAAACCTTCTTTGCCGAAAGTGCCTCACTTTGTTGGCACTCGGCAAAAGACCTTTGCCGAAAGTGCCATTCCCCAAGCTTTTCGGCAAAGTTTTTTATTTTTTTGTTTTGGCCTCCAAATTTTTTGTGCATCCCTTTTAAAGCACGCTGAACTCCTAGTTAGAATTTGGGGATTTTTATATCTTTTTATATATTTAATTACTTTATTTCGTTTACTTGAATTTTTCAAAAATATAAATTTGAACTTTGCGTAGATACGAATAATGGAATTTAATGATTCAAAAATGATAGTCATGTTACTAGGTGTAGTGTGAGGTTGTATCCGAGAAGCAGACCGAAATTTCGGACATCTTGTTCACAAAACATGACCGCGATTTTTTGCGCGATGCAGAAGTGTTTTTAAATTCTATAAAAAGCAAAAGAAGTCCGAAAATCATGAAACTTGTTGAGATGTCACGATATCATATGTGGAGCCTATGATAAAAATTTCAGAAGATTTCGTACTGCGTTGTCACGTACGATGTTTACAAACCAGGACATCTCTACACGTGATATCTGATCTCACATGTGGAGATGTCCTGGTTTGTAAGGATCGTACGTGACAACGTGCACGAAATCTTCTAATTTTTTTTTCATAGCCTCCACATATGATATCACGACATCTCAACAAGTTTCATGATTTTCGGACTTCGTTTATTTTTTATAGAATTTATAAACACTTCACACACAATTTCGCGGACATGTTTCGTGAACAAGATGTCCGAAATTTCGGGTCCGTTGCTGGATACGGCCTCTCATAACACTCACTAACATGACTATCAATTTTCGAATCATTAAACTCCATTATTCGTACCACGTGCAGTTCAAATTTCTAATTTCCGGAAAAATTGAAGTAAACGAAATAAAGTAACTAAGTATAACAAAAAGCCACAAAAAATCCCCAACTTGTAACTAGGAGTTCCTGGTGCTTTAAAAAGGCTGCACAAAAAAATTGGAGGCCAAAAACAAAAAAAACAAAAAAACTTTGCCGAGTGCCGGGGCATGGCACTCGGCAAAGGGTGTCTTTGCCGAGTGCCAGCCATCAGGCACTCGGCAAAGAATGTTTTAATTTTTTTTAAAATTTCCACTTTGCCGTCCAGGGGGCACTCGGCAAAGTATTTTAAAAATAAAAAAAATTTCTTTGCCCAGCGCCAGATCTGAGACGCTCGGCAAAGAATTAAAAAAAAAATTAAATCTTTGCCGAGTGCCAGATCTGGGGCACTCGGCAAAGAAATTAAAAACAAAAAAAAACAAATCTTTGCCGAGTGTCTAACAGCAGGCGCTCGGCAAAGAAGGACGTGGCGGAACACCGTTACGCGGGGCAGCCTATGCCGAGTGCCGAGTTTTTGCCGAGAGTCTGGCACTCGGCAAAGAAGTCTTTTGCCGAGTGCACTTTTTTTGCCGAGCGCCTGGCACTCGGCAAAGAACTCTTTGCCGAGTGCAATTCTTTGCCTAGTGCGGCACTCGGTAAAGAAAGTCTTTGCCGAGTGCCCGATTTTTAACACTCGGCAAAGAATTTTGCACTCGGCAAAGTCTCTGTTTCCAGTAGTGAGAGCGAGGAACCAGCTTTTAAGTTTCTGAGGTTTCATAGTGCTTTAGCAACATGAGTACCACCTTGGTGTAAAAGAACTACCAGCCCAACATCTATATTTTCAATCTTTTTACCTTTTAATGATAAATTTATTGTCACGTTCGATCTTATCACTAACTCATTGTGTTTTTTCCATGGTCAGATCATTTGTTCTCTAAGGTTGTAGATTTTCTTACTAAGCAACCAGTTAGCCAGATTTGTTCTCCCTAGGTGCTTGTAATCTTGGGTCGATCATCCAAATGCCCTCGAGCTCACACAATCTGATCATCAGGAGTAAGGGTTCTGGCCTTCTGGGTCTTGGGCTTTCACATCTTATATGGGATTAAAACCTGAATAACTATGAATAGGCCGATCAACTTAGGCATTGGCTTGATTGGCTTTAAGATCTTGCAACAAAGCGCAATGGCCGAGCATTGTTTATGGGCAGATCCTAAGTGAGGGCATGACTGCGGAAGATGTTACTGTAATAAAGATAGGAGGGAGAAGGCGTCAATAGAGCGATGGCGAGGCAGGTAGATTGACCAAGATCCTTAATAGATAGTTGTATGCAAACGCGGTTGTTGTAGTATAAAATGACTGTTATAGCATAACTAGGTCCTTACAATATACATCAAAACTTCAATTATGTGCTAATTGTTTAAACTTTGTGAAGACTCATGTAATAGTGACTATGGCTGCAAAACAAATTATTGCGAGCATCACACTCAAAATATCACTTTTTAGTAATGCTCCCTCCATATTGTTTTATAAGGCACACAACATTCAAACATTAACATCTTTGATCAATAACTTCAAATATTTTTTAACTATCAATTGTAATACAAACTTGATACGATTAGATTTATATCAAATGTACTATATATCCAATTATCAAAAGTTTATAAGCAGCTAAACAATATAATATAATAGATTGTGTCATGTCAAGCTATGGAGTACAAGCATAAACAATATAAGCTGAAACAGAGGTAGTAATATAACACGCGTTTAAACTAAAATTATTATGGTTATTTTGTTCCCGTTACGATGCACGGGCATGGACTAGTAGAAATAAAAATTGCGTGAAAACTGTGTCTGGATTCTCGCAGCGGTGCTTTCTTTTGTCCCGTTCCTGAGTCCTGACAGCTCGTTCACTGGATCTACTGGAGCCCGTAGAAGGTGAGCAGCAAGAGCAGCCCGAGGAGCGTGTCAGCAGGCGCCGCGGCAGCAGCTCCGGCGCCGGACTTCTTGACGGTGAAGGAGAAGGGTGCAGGCGGCGACGAGCTCGGCGTGGACCCGTTGCTCACGTCAATCCCCAGCCCCTTGCAGTCCGAGCCCAGCGAACCTGCAGCAGCACCGATCGAAACACCAGGCGCCGGCGAGCCGGCGTCGTCAGTCGGCTCACTTGTTCTTGTTGCTTCGCTCTGCAGCTGCAAATCAGAGGCTTAAGTTTCAGAGGGAGAGGATATATATGGTTGCGTACACTGTTGGTAGCACGGGTAGGAGGTGTCGTTGAGGAGGTTGGCGTAGCCGTCGCGGCAGCTGCAGCGGTGGGTGAACTCTGACGCCTTCTCGCAGGTGCCGCCGTCGCCGCAGTACTGCATCAGGCACGCTGGTATGTAACAGGAAGCAGCAGACGCCATTAGTTAGTTCATGTGGCCAGCATTCCGCGACGTACTGCAACATCTCGTGGTAGTAGTGTATATAAGTGACATGACAGTTCCCGGGCTGGAGGGAGCTGTTACGTACGGTCGAAGGTGATTAGCCCTGCTGGCGGTGCCGAAGGAGGCGATGGAGCCGGCGCCGGGGACGACGACGACGACCCGCCCTGGCACGAGGAGTGGATGGTGCCTGCATGCAAAGAGCAAGTACAGTCGTCAGGCTGCTGGTTACTCCAGCTCGTGCCTCGTTTGCTCTGCTCGTGTGACACGTGGCAAGTCTGCGTTCGTTTCCCATGTTTGGCATGCGTGTGCCTGCGAAGGCAAGGAGAAATTCCACGCCACCAACCAAAACAACTTGGTCCCTCCGACTAGTACGGGGAACTTGGAACCTGACGAGTGTGGGTGAGTCAACAGAAGCTTCTTGTGAAAGGTAAAGTAAAAGTCACGTTCACGCCGGGACTGACTGACTCCTGACATGTGGTACACTAGGATGACTTTTTTGCAGCATGCCAGGACGGACCAAGGCCCCGCTGACTTCAACTTACCAACGTAGTAACAGTATTTTCTCTCACCACAAATCAGTCAAAAGTACTCTGGCTTTTCAGCGAAACGAAGGAGGCCTTGGTTGCAACTCCGATCCTCCTGCAGTGTTCCCCGGCCGGCCGGGTTGATCCTGATCGAACGCCAGAGCTGAGCTTGGTGGCAACTCGATCGACATCGGCCGTGCCGCCGAGTGGGCGTGCATGGAGGCAGACGGATGGATGATGCGCAGGATCATTGTAGAGGAGAGTCGAGAGAGCGTGGGGGGCTGTTGTTCTTACTCACAGTTTGGGATGACGCAGGGGAGGAAGGGGAACTGTACGGCATCGAGGTGGTAGCGGCTCCAGCCGGGCTTGCACTGGCACGCGAACCCGAAGGCGTAGTCGCTGGACTCGCTGCACGTCCCCATGCCGCAGCTCACGTTGCCGCACACGCCGCCTGTGTCTGTCACACAAACACAACACAGAGCATATGCATCCAACGCGTCAGAGGAGGGAAGCGACGGATTATTGGAGACACGGACGGCCGGGCGCGCCTGAACTGAACGGGCGATCGGCGAGGCTAATAACCGTCACGCCTTCGCGACTCACCGGCGGCGGCGGCTCCATGGGGTAGCAAGGCGGCGGCGGCGCAGAGAGACGCCAGCGCGAGGAGCGGCCTGGCACGCCCCATTGCTACCTCCTCGAGTTGAGTTGTGTTGTGTATGTAGCCTTGTAGGCCTCCTGAGAGGAACTGAGCTAGTAGGAAGCAATGCAAGCAGCTGGGTCAATGTTTTGGGGGGATTAGTACAGTGACGGTAATGGGACCTGGAAACCTATATATAGGCTTTTATTTTGTAGTTGCTGTGATTGGTCGGTCAGGTCTCGCAAAAAAAAAAACATGCTGTCGCGGTAACGAGTCTGACGAAAAAACGCAGACAAAAACGAAAGAGGAGGCACACGTACTGTATGTTGTCCACAAGGACGACCGTCAGGTTTGACCTGATGGCGTCATCTCCAGATTTCTAGTCTGTACCGAGTCATCTCGTGTTCTTTTCTAACTGTTGAACAGCTGCTTGTAACAGATATGCAGAGATTTTCTTTTCTATATATCAAGATCGAGATCGAGATATCAAAGTTTATTTATGGAGAGGTTTAAAATCTTAAGAAAATCAAGGAAAATAAGAAAATCTTTCATATTATTTCTTATCACATGCACAAAGTATAGGTATTTGTTATTATATAAATAAATACTGATGCATATCATGAATAATAAAATACATGAACAGAGAGTTGACACGCAAAAATTATTATGTACATCGGATACACTAACTCCCTGAAACGACCTCCGCTAGCTAGACTAAGGGTCTATTATCACTAAAAATTAGCAGCTAAAATTAGTACTAGCGGATCTGAACAGCCCTGCTAGTAACCTGCTAATTACTAGTTGAAGGGCTGCCGATTGAAGAAGTGATCGAGTCGTAGGTGTGTATCCCTCCCTCATCATCTGTGCTGGCCCTATCCTCAGGAAGTCCAAGATGCCGAAGTCGGTGTTTACGCCGAGACGAAGCGAATGCCTCGCCCAGAAACCTCACGAGGCCAACGCCACGCTCCAAGCACAGAGCATCCTTTTGCAGAAGCTTGGTGTCGCCAACAACACCAATGCCGACGATGTGAACGCCGAGGCCTATGAAAAGTTTCGGGCGACCTTTTGCGGCCCCTTTGTCGGCCTCCAAGCAGGAGGCACTGCACGTGCTGTCGTTTTCAGGTGAATTCGACCCAGTGGCCTGGAACCTTGACTTGACCGGGCTTGACGACGAGGCTATATAAGCCTTGTGCACAGCTGGTTTGTCGTAAAATTGGTTTCCCAATGGCGTCAACTTCGTGTTTGGGCTAGAATGTGCGAGGTGCCAGTGCTCGCGAACGTCGCACTGTCGTGAGGGAGTCCATCGCACATGAGCGGACAACTCTTGTATGCCGCTTCTTCGCCGTCGCAGTTACCCAACTCGATCGAGGAAGGGGCCGACGACGGTACATGGCGGGTTTTGGGCGAAGGCGGCAGCTACTGTCGGTGCACTGATTACCTAGGAAGGCCGCTCGTTGTCTTTATGGTGCAAAATATTTCTGTGTAAATCACAACCACATGTGTTTTTCGGTCGCTGGCCTTGGTAATCTTGCGATTACTATGACCAGCTTAGGTTGAAACAAACTCTACTTCTGCTTAATGAAAAACATGCCAAGGCACGATCGAGAAAAACTATTAGTTCTATTAGCAGATTTTAAGTTGCTAATAGGTGCTAATAATTCATATACACCTTTAACTCACTGTCCAACCACCTATTAGCAGGTGGATCAAACGGTTTACTCCTAAAAATTATCTAGCTAAAAATTAGCAGCTATTAGTTATTACCTAGCTAATTTTTAATGCTAATGGATCAAACATAGCCTATGGCCCCGTTTGGATGTTTTGCAATATTTTACACCTGCGAGTGGCTTCCGTATGGATTTTCTAGTGCACAAGAATTTACAAGTGTGACATAATTCTCTTGTAAAATATTATCCTGCTACTTGGGAGTGAATAGAACACATGCATGTGCATGCCGCATGCGTGGGTAAGCGCGTGTCAGCCTACTACTTCACAGACAGCGTGCTTCACGACACCGCCGAAGAGGCATGCACCATGCGAGTGACGCCAGAAGAACGCAGCGCAGCCCGACATCCGTCGTATTTTTTTCTCGGGACTCAGGAGGTGATTTTATTTTTTCGGTTGGAATCGATGAAACCGAGTGTAATTAAATTGTGTTCACAAGCCATCCAAACAACCTTTTTCAACTCAGCGGGTATAAGTTTTCAGGCCGGTGATTTACACCTGTTTTGTTCCTAAAACAGGGCTTCCAAACAGCCCCTAAGACGATGGATATTTGGCATCAGGTCCGAACATGTTGGTCCATTCCGTCTAGAAACATGGAGACTCTTGACTCAAGCCGTGACGTGCCGCCGTGTTCATTCCGGATTTCGGGTCAATTTTAATAATGCGCTCGTTATTACAAACTAAATCATACGTACTGCTTGGTGTTTCTTTTCTTGTGTATGCTGCGTAATTTTCAAATCAAATCGAATCAAATAAAAAAAAGATTCTAAAGTCATAATCTATCCGATGATAACAAATCTTAGCCCCTGCTCACGTGCCCGTGTCCGATACAAATCATACTCCACCCTGACCTCACACGTTCGCGTCCTACGCCCGGTTACGATACGAAGATCGGATCCATGTGTCCGCGTCCAATACGAAATCGTCGGAGCTTAGGTGTCTGTGTCCGATTACTGAGGCTCAATAAAAAATATCCTCGGTATAACGCACGGACATATATCTAATTTTTAAAAAAAATTGCATGTAGTAGGACTACAGCTGAGGAAGCTACGACATGGAGCTTATTAGCGAGAAGAAAGACGATCTGAGACGAATTTACCCACGACATAAAAAGCTTGCTTTATTTCCAGGCCAAGATCTTTCCTGTTCTCACATTTTTCGTCGGTCTTTTGACCCTAATAAAAAAATATCCTACCACCCTATCGTTTGTAAATACAAAAAAAATTGCAAGGCCTTATGGGCCCAGGCCCTATTTGCCCCCGGCTTAGACGTAAGGATCCCTCAGACGGTTCCAACTGTCAGGCCCGTTCGCTTAGCTGATAAGCCATGGCTGAAAGTACTGTTGACTGATTTATTGTGATAGAAAAATATTGTTCGTTCGCTGAAAAAGTACGGATTATAAGATAAGCGAACAGAGCCTGTCGGGCTCATTGGTCATGTTGTGTACTGAAGCCCAATCTGCACCCAACCAGGTTTGGGCTTTGCTGGATCAAACGTGATTTGCAGGTTGGTTAAACTGATATGAAGGGAGTTTTCTTTTTGATTGGCTAGCGCCCGGATGTCCGGACGCTAGCCCCGTTCGGACGTCCGCGCCTGCCCGCCCATGTCTGGCCTGTTGTGCCAGCCCGCAAGCATGTGGGACCTGCCCACGCCAATGGGGACCGCCTCCACCTGCGCTCGCTTTCATCATCTGACACCGAGGCGAGACAGCAGAAACGTGAGGAGATGCAATACCCAATCAAGTTTCGAAACATACAGATGCAACAATTGCAACATACGTCTGAAAACAAACGAAGCATTTTAAACATGCGTCGGAAACACTTACAAAAACACCTGAAAAAACACTTAAAGAGCCATTGTAAACATACGCAACATCAAGTAAAAACAATTGCATCATATGTGTGAAAACATATGCAACATCCAGATAAACACACTTGCAACATACGTCAAAAAAACAGATGAAACATTGAGAACATGAGCTTGCAACATACGTGTACAACCATTGCAACATATGCAACATCCCGATGTACTTTTGCAACATCCGTATAAAACACTTGCAACATTCCTCTGAAACAACTGAAACATACTCTTGCAACATGCGCTTTTGGCGCAAGCGAAATGTCACCTTGATGCTTGGACGAATGGAGCTCGTCGTTGTGGAGCTCGACAACGGCGCGAAGCTCGTTGCCATGGAGTGTGCGGAACTCGCCGGTGCGGAGCTCGTCGACGGCACAGACCTCAGCAGTGGCCGCGACAGGTGGATGGAGCACAGCCACGATGGGAGACGCGAATACAGGCAGGGGCGGGGCGGCTAGGGCGGGAGCGGCGCCGGCGAGCAGCTCTGGTACAATCTGTCCTGCAACTGTGAGCTGGAGCGCACAACATAGAGCGGCGTGAGCGATGCGGGTGAGTGGATGAGGATGAGCCACAAGGTTCGAATGGGAACTCACGCGAGCAACGCGGGCGAGTGGATGAGCATGAGCCATGTCCGGACGAGAAGTCACGGGTCAAACGGCCGTGCTATATCATTATCGCTCTTTTTCTTTGAAGGAAAAATGCTCCATAAGTTGACTGCATCTTTAATTCTTTCTCTTGGAGGCGAGAAAAGAAACTAAACAGGGTTATGAAATTATACTTCTTGTAAGGAATCAAGGTGTAGAATGGCATCTCGGTTAATGTAAGCGGTAGAACATGAAGCTCCTCGAATTATCGTAGCATGCCAAAAAATTTCAAAGTACAGCTAGAGCACGCTGCTGCTGCTACTACTACTACTACAAGGACCAAGCAAGAGAGGCCTGCATAGTCGCGAGTCTACGGATGTCAAGTCGAGTTTTCAGGGGACGGCACGGTGGCCCTGCAGCAGGGGGCAGCCGCGCAGGCGCGGTGCCCGGCGAGCCACGGGAGCACCTGTCACGGCGCACGCTACAACTGAACGTCTTATTTGAAGGCCCTGATGATGTCATGTCCTACGCACCAAGCCAGCAATGCAAACACATGGGCATGGATTACAAGTGGAGCGTATCACCGTCGCAACGGAACATTAATTTGAAAATTTGGACCATTCAAGTGTGTTCGTGCTAGTAGTTTTTTTTTAGGTTTGCCTACTCTCGGTGAAAATCTTGTCTCCCAGACTCCCACACCTGAGTTTCAATGCTTTTTCTCTCTCTTTCCCTTCTCCTTTCCCTTCTTAATAAACAACATGCATGGACGGGAATGGGTTTTAATGGTTCTCCAACACAACACCCGAGTTTTGACAATGTGGTGCTGTAGTAAATATGTGCTAATCATGGATTAATTAGTCTTAATAGATTTTTCTTGCTAAT